CCATCCATCCATCCATCCATCCATCCATCCATCCATCCATCCATCCATCCATCCATCCATCCATCCATCCATCCATGAAACCTAGCTAGATAGCCATCCAACTATCTACCCTGACATATCACGATCATCTTTACGTAGATGTACTGTCTCTCTATTACAGATGTGGATGAGTGTTTAACCAGAGTTAGCAACTGTCATTCCCTAGCTGAATGTAATAACGCGGTCGGTAGCTTCTACTGCCAATGTAACCCAGGTTACACAGGCAATGGAGTAACGTGTAATGGTGAGTATGTTACCTTGTACGCATTATGATGTCTCACATCTACCACCGTTATTCTGCAAGAACTAGTTATTTTTTTATTAAAAAATAACAGCATATCCTTTATTAAATTCATTTATTCGCTTGTGACAGTTATGCAGGTGTTCATAGAAATGTAGCGAGAAACTAACTAGCATGTTGTTTCTATGCACGCGTCTTCCGAGACATTGACATAGATATTGATGAGTGCCAGGACGCCACTCACGACTGCGATGCTCACGCCACCTGCCAGAATAAGATCGATGGTTTCACGTGCACATGTCTGCCAGGTTACGCAGGCAGAGGAACTATCAATCACTGCGCAGGTACGCACCCTATCGAACCTAACTCTTTCAACGAAACTTGTTACTCATCTTTTCTTTTCTCTTTACCTATCCCTATGAGCGAGATATGCCGGTCCAGCTTATCCAATTTACAAATGTTTGTCACGCACAAACACCAAATTGTCAACTTTGCGGCACTACGATGCTAGGCAGCTTTTTTTGAGCGCTCCCATCGTTGACACAAATGCTGGTTGGCTATAGGCATACCTGCCAATCGCATCGGGCGGATATACAGGATATATAATAAGGTAATTACACGAGATTTGTGTTCATTCACAAATGCTATTCAAGCGTCGAACGGTATATGTGTTCTACTCTCACTTCAGTCGTGATATATGTGAAAGCGAAGAGTACTTAGTAACTGTAAAGCCCGGCTGTGAAGTAAGCCACCAAGCGCATTTCAGTCGTTTTATCGCACTCTGTTGCACGTAGATCAGTGATTATGGAATCAATTCAACCAACCCGGAGAGGTATGTTCTATGGTTTTCTCTCTAGTATACATCTATTCTTTATGTGCATAATTCCGGGAACACGACAGACGTTGGACTCCCTCAACTCAGACCCAGTCCTAATCCTAGTCCGTGTGCACGATACGTGTAACAGGTTATATGGTGGTGTGGTTGTGTTGGTATGGCGACGTTAGCATGGAGTAGTCAATTTATGAGGGTATAAAGTGATGTCCTGCTATTGCTATGAGATAGTAAAGTGTGTGCGCATTAAATGAGGTGGTGCTGGTGATGTATGGTGGTAAAGCGGTGTTGGTATGAGGTGGTAAGATTGTGCGTGTATTGGGTAGTAAGGTGGTTTTGGTATGAGGTGGTAAGATTGTGCGTGTATTGGGTAGTAAGGTGGTTTTGGTATAAGCTTGGAGTAATCATTCTGACAGATGATGTGGCAGTGTGGCGGTGTTGGTATGCGGTAGTAAGGTGGTGGTGGTGGTGGTATGAAGTAGAATGGAGGTGTTGGTATGAGGTAATAGGTGATATGTGGTAATTGTATGAGCTGGTGTGATGGTGTTGGTCTGAAATGATCTCATCATTGTTGATACATGGTGGTAAAGCGGTGGTGCCATGTGGTAATAAAGGTGATATTGGTATAAAGTGACAAAGCAGATACCTAATGCGGGCACGCGTGCCCGTGCGCACACACGTACGTACATACCCACGCACGCACATACCCACACACGCACGCACGCGCGCAGGCAGGCACGCACGCAGGAAGGCACGCACGCAGGCACGCACGCACGCACGCAGGCAGGCAGGCAGGCATGCACGCACGCACACTAGCGACGACCAGACGTTATCGGGTGCGCTAGCGAGCTAAAACCATCACTGTGATCGGAGCCGAGTAGATGACGAAGATGGTTCTATCAGAAGATAAGGTAACAAACACGAGTTACTCCGAACATGTTGTAGACATAGCTTCATGATATTACTAGTAACTTATTTTCACCGAGATTCGGATATTTCTGTTTGAATTTCTTTTTATATATCAATATACGATTATATTAAATGTACATGGTTTAAATGACGGGAATGGATTTCACGATTAAAATGTTTCAGAGGCATTCATTCCTAATAAGAAATAAGTCCATCACCGCACATAAATGATGGTACTTTCTGTGCCTGATTTTACATTTTTTCAGATTACAGGTGACGCTAGGTGTTTTGAATGAGGGCGACTGCAATAGGAAATCAATGCTTATAGAAAGATATAAATTTGTTCAATATCTGTATAGCATGGAGTTATTATAATATTATATACTTGTAAATATATCATTATGTAATACTCTTTAAAAGTTCTGCGTAATTGGATAGTATCTAGACTACTAGTAATTATGAACCCAGGTTGAAAGTTTGGGCCTTTTCCTAGAAGTTTCGGTACTGAGTAAACAACAAACACACGCAGTGTGCCCAATGCTTCGGCTTTTGCTGCAAGTAGCGATCTCGTGTAGTATTCCGCCTATAAATTAGCCTGTAACAGCCTCTAGTGGGTAGACGTCGAGTTCAGTATGAAGGGCCTAATTAGCTTTAGCTTTTTGGCGAGTTTATGACATTTTCTTCGAAAATTCAACTTTAATTCCCATTTGGCGAATTAGCGGACAGCTTAACCCCCACCCAATTCCAAGATTTATTGGTGCCCCGTGGAGACACCATTGCGTGTACAGACGTGATGCTTTGAGAACGCGAGTGTATTATTTGTTCGCTTACATTTATATCCTATATTTACCTCCTAATTCTGTATGCATTATATCAGGAGTAAGATAATATATCCTATATTATCTTACTCCTGATTATATTAGTATGTGCTGTAACAATGTTGCAGATGATTAAATTTCTAGTTTGTAATATTAAATTGAAGAGATTTGCATTCTGAATGTAAATGGTTATTACACATGTATAAACCCATGTTAGCTCATTCAATGTTACCATTTATAATTATAACAGTATTTTCAATTAAACCCTACCTAATGAATGCTATGTTGGTTTTGACAGCACTAGTTTATGCATTTAATTAATTTCTAAATATTAATGTTCGATAATTCAAAATGAGAACCAGCCAGTTACGACATAATATACTCGTACACAGTATCTTGTTCACAAGTGTTTATTTATTGATTTGTTTACTGAAATATTTTACAGTTCCTTTGCCACGCCGCCTGCAGATTGCTGGTGTTTCTTTTGCCAGGAAAGAGTTTCACGTACCATCTTTCTCGCATTAGTGCTGCCTCCTAGTGCTGCTTTCGTCTAAACGAGCATCCTGAAAATAAAATAACACATCAAAGGTATACCCTCCGACTCACTTCTCAGGTGAAAGCAGGAAGACCATAACATTCCTAGTTCCTACCTCCACCCTCACACACAAAACCACAAACCAAATTTAGCTTAAATTCCGTAAGCATGCAAGGGCTAATTTAATCTCCACACCTGAAAAAATTACACTAACAAGTTAACAACATTGTTACAAACATTACCACCAGCAAAACTAAGACAGCACTGATTGTACCAGGCTTTGGAGACTGTGTGGGGTTGAAATATTCCCACACAGAACTATGAACCTGTGGTTACTCTATGGTTGCGCAGAATGTGCCCATGTACACCAAGTGATAAGACACCACTTGATGCACACGACATCAAGGACAGACTACCCTGAACACAGAATTACTGCGACAACCAAGAACTTTTGACACGACACAAGAGACATCATCCGGGTTATAGTTATTATCATTATCCTTATTCATCATTATCAATTACACAACATATCACGTGTGCAAGGCTAAATTACTGGAAAACCATCGTTCGCTAGCCCTAATCTAACTACGCTTTCTTTGGTTTAATTAAACAAAGCTGAGCTCAGTCTATCTCAAACCTTTTCCTGCCATCGTATGTAATTAGTTTTCTCAATCACATATATGCAATCTGCAGATATACTTCAGAAAGCACAGCACGGTTAGAACTCGAGAATTTTCACCAGGTAATCGAAGACCCATTCTCAGAAACAAAATTAACATTAGACTTGACATTAGTCCTCGCACCAATTTTTCCTCATAAACAGTTAACAGACACATTGTAAAGCTATGAGCTTCATGTACATGTATGTGATGTATAGAGGTCCGGGCTACGATAAAGTGTAAATGTTAAGAGTAAAATAAAGTCTAATTTTGTTTCTCAACAACCTTTCTAATACAGTCCGACCTCCTTTATCCGGAAATCTCTATTAATCGGCCGCGATCTTGCAGTGTATGTTTTTCATTCATTTCCACCTAAAAATCTCGCTCAAAACTCGCGAGTGTTGTACGCTTGTGTCCGCTATGGCTCCGGTAAAATTTATGTTTTATTTCATTTTATTTCCATTTCATATAAACCCTATACAGGGATGAGATTGGAGAATTTAATTTAATTTTCAGCTGAAATTGAAATTAGCAAACAGAGGAGCGAGCAATGCGAGGACCGTAGGTCATCGCCATGCTAGGGGGGTCGGTGGGCATGCTCCCCAGGAATTAAAAAAAAAAGAAGTGCAATTTGGTGCATTCTAACCTATTCTGAACACATTATAGGAGACTCTTGAATCACTTTTTCAAGTTGTCATAAGGAACAAACAAACTATGAATAGGAAATCAGGGGGCTGAAAATAGGGTTGTATATATATCTATGTTTTACTCAGACATAAATCAGACAATAGATCAGATCAATAGATAGACTCAGACATAAGCTTGATTTCACACGAGATACACGGCCTCGCTGGTTCCGTACTTAGCTGGTGCTGAATTCGGCTGAAATACCGCGCTAACACAACCCGGAGCGTTCCCATGAGATACACGAGATTCGAGGTTTAGCTGGCTAGCTATAATATAGACTGGTACCCGGTCGACAGTTCCACACACTACACTAACGTCTTGTAGCGAACGGGTACCAGTCTAGGTAAGCGCGTTACAGTTTCGCAATTCGAATGCGTTCACATGACAGACAATACGCGGCTTACTTGGCGCGGAATGTGATTCCACGCCAAGTAAGCCGCGTATTTCAGTACGGTACCGAATAAGCCGCGTATATTTTTACCGTGTGAACGCTCAAGTATGGTACTGAAATCCTCGTGTGAACGCAGCTATATATATATAATATTGACGCTGCCTTGCTGCGACGAGATTTGAATAAAAAAAACAATGCGAATGGAACAATCAGTGCATAGTCATGCACACAACATGCACACAGAAACATGTAAACCCGGCCCCCAGGCCAGGCATGGTCGTTACGTGATCAGCTACCTCAAATGTCTGCTCCTCTACTGCAGCCTGTGAACGAGGATTATCTTTTCTAGTACACAAAAACAGATACACTGTATACTTCGCTGTCAGTCTACTGTCTACACTCTACAATCTACAGTCAGGTGCTGTTGAGGGTATATAATTTAAATTTTTACATTGTTACCACCCACCACCCCCAATTTTCTCAACGAATTTAGAAGTTTTACAAAATCGACCCCTGAGAAAAGGGATTTCCGCGGAACCATCCGGGATCGGTCCGTTAGACCATGTCCTCAGAAAATGTCTGATATCTGACCTTTCCCCCACTGCCATTTGACCTGTGACCTCCAATTTCGCACTGGTGATGAGTTTTCTCCCCATCACACTATACACCGAATATTAAGAGCGTAGATCGAGCCGTAATTCCGTATTTCCTCCTATACCTTAAGTTAAGGGGGAAATATTCACCCCTCCATTAACACATCTCGACCTTTCACCCTTGACCCCCAAATTCGACATCCCGAGTCCTTTTCGTGATCCCCACCGACGTCCCGAATATCAAGACCGTACGTCGAGCGGTTAAGATTTGTACCCAACTGTTGACGGACGCACGGACAACCATGTGATTCTACAAGCTGCATCTGACTTCGTCAGCTGAGCTAACAAAAGAATAGAATAGAAGTAACAAACCTAGTAATCGAGGCTAACAGATAATCTCAGTCAAAAATTTATAAAGGACAGGGGCCCGTTGTCAGAAACTTCGTAAAGCTACGATTAATTTTAAGTCTAATGTTAATGTTAAGGTTAATTTTAATAGCGTTGCCAGAAACCAACTTAAACTAAACTTACTTAAGTGAAAACTTACGATAACATGAACTTCATAATTTCATGTCACAAGGCTGCCGATTGGATGAGAATCGATCACAAAATTCAAATTCATACACATTTATTGTACATCACAGTAAATTTATGCATATTATTATGGCTAACCACATATAAATAATAATTGATGGAAAATTACGTGGTCATGAATTTATTCTGCACAAGAAGACAAATTCTGACATTGTAACGCGAGACGCGAGAATCGTGGCAAGAAAAACACACATTTTATTCATTATTATAAAATATAATATCAATATAATTGTAATTCGTAGTGTAAATGTGTTATTTTCAACTTAATATTAAAGTTAAGGGAGGGTCTAGGATCTATTAAGTTAAGAGAAAAGTTACGAGAATTTTTAATTCTCTTAACTTTACGAAGTTTCTGGCAACGCTTTAAGAGAAAAAGTTAATGTTAAGGTTAATGTTAAGACTAATTTTTTTCTGACAACGGGCCCCAGGGCTTGAAACTAACGCTCGCCTGCTCGCCCGAGGCTAGTAGAATGTCTGGGCTGACCAGCCCTGTTTGCGAGTGGGAATGCCTACCAGATAACATATTACTAGTACTTTTTCAGCAACTACTAACCGGAACGAACTAGTCATAAGTAGTATAAAACTTGCGTGTGCAAACATAATAAAATTGCAAAACCTAAACATAACAGTCACGATGCTAAACGCTGCCATATTGGATACTGTAGACTTTACTAACGGATTAAACTACATTAATCCCCTCACACAGTCACAGTGTATACGCAATACGTTTCTGTTCATGTTTGTGGACCGGTTACTATACGTTTCAGCTGACCTCAGGGTTAAACACTACAATCCCTCCCCTTTTCAAACCAAAAGATGATTTCAATTTCACCTTTGCTAAATAAGCAAATTAGAAACTCAACTTTACTTATACCGAGTTGGAATCACCCTGGCTAATATATACAATCCAGTCTGTGTCTATAATTGACGTGGAATAGTAGTCACGGTTTTGTCAGGTACTGTTATGAAAATAACCCGAATATATACCTTTAAACCTACATTCCTGTAACTGGTATTCTAAGCTTTTTATAATACGAAGTTCATCCTAACACTAGCATAACACGCTTCTATGTGGCTCATATTCAGTCAACTAATATAATTGCAATACAACTCTACAAATCTCAAATTATCACAAACAGGATAACTCAACTTATAACTCTATACTGTACTTGTACTAACTACTACGCACTAATAACCTCTGTACTTGTAGTAGAGATAGTCACAAACGGTTTAACTTAAAGGGATAGTAGACTCTAGGGTTTTACTGCATACAACTGTACTTACTGTATAACAAATCGTCTATACTAACACGTATTTGTTACAAGATACCTAATTTAATTGTTATAATTAATTACACATCAACGCTACGAAATTTGAACGACGCCATGATACCCGCGACCGTGCTGCCACCCCGAAAAAGTTGCGTATTTGACAATTTATTTTGCACGTTACAGACCGAGGGCTAATCCCAAAAGTGCAATTATATTTATACCTAAATGCTATTTAGACGAACGATATTCATTTTAGGGCAAATTTATCCATATTATAACTGAAACTATATGTCGTTTATAAGATATTACAATCTTTTGCTTTTAAATTAATAAATAAGAAACACCCTCGGTCTGTTACTGTAGAACTTGGCTGAAAAGTGAGTTTGAGTGGCGCCACCGTCGTTGTAATCAAACTGTAGTCGTTAGTTTTAAAACATTTTTTAATAATATTTCTAATGGTGAATGAACCATGAAACTTTTTATGTAGCATAATTTTAACCTAAATTAACTGAAAATAACCCTAGAACTTAGAGTAAACGATCCCTTTAAACATGAACTTTCACATTTCAGTAAAACTGACTAATAGTTCTAATCGTTACTCTAAGGAATATAATTATTCTGCTCTTATAACATAGTACTGATGTATATACTGAATCTAGATTTTCACAAAGTCAATGAATTTTGCAGAATGCATCTCAGAGCATCTAAAATCAAAACCCAGATCCACCCACCTCACCCACCCAAACGCAAAACTGTGCTCACCGCGTAGCTTCAGCGCCGCACTTCAGAAAAGTAAGGGCTGGTAGATATTTTTAAGGGCTAGTAGATTTTAC